TTAATTGTTTGAGACGACCATCAAGTAAAGCAAGACAATCATCATAAGTCATCAAATTAATATATAATTTGTTAAGAGTTGAAGAGAAGAAGGTAGTTGAAGGTAAATTACGAAGTACCAAAGGTGGAAAAAAACGGGGAAATGATCCCATAATAGATAAATGCTTTAGATTTTCGAAATATTTCAAAATATATTCATATACATCTGTTGTATAATTTTTTTCTAATATTTCATTAAAATCATTTTCAAATACAAGAATAAGATCTGTAATTTGTCGTTGAAAAATACATCGAAATGGTGTTTCAACTAAATAAAACACAAATAGTTATTATCTAGTCTATTTATACAACAGTTTTTCATCTAAATCTTTACTCTAATCAATACATAAGTTATTTACCTGTAAAATAACGTGAAACAATTTTATCGTTAAAATTAAAGAGTTTAATTTCAGTTAAATTAGGATAATCGCCAACAAGAAGAATACGTTCCATAGATAGTGAATCAAGTATAAGAGATTTGACATTTTGATGAATTCTTGGTAATATATTTGTGCAAAATCGATCAACTATTGAATCGGTAAGCGACAAAATGTCGTCAGTTAACGTTATTATTAGAAATTTGAGAGTATTAGTGAAAGTATTTTCTTGTGCTATAATATCAAGTCGTTGATTATCAACATCCAACAATGAATAAAGAACATCTATATTGTCGAGTTTTTTAAAAATCATAACCAATATTTCATTAGGTAAATCAAGTAGGCCAACCTTCGATAGATTCATATTGAGTTTGACTAACGCTTTTTTTTTTTTTTTATTGTACATATATATATGTATAAGGTTCATTGTTTCTTTCTGCCGGCTGCTATATTATTGAATAAAATGAATGAATGACCTCAATTAAAAAGAAATATAGCCTGAATAAATAGTCGAATTAATTGATGGATGTTTTTTTTTTCGTCTATCATTGAGATTATTTTCATCGGCAGTCACCGTTGTTGTTTATACCAAAAAATGAAAAAGTCACGCTAAAAAAAAAAGAACATAATTTTATTAAATAAAAAAAGTTGAGCATAATACATTAGATATTATATTAAATGATCGTCCGTTTACCTTATACAATAATGGTTCAAAAGATTGAACAGTTTGATTTTTTACTTCACTATTTGTATCTTCTTTAATACTCATGCTTCTTCTAGTTTTTCTATTTATTAGAAAACAATAACAATGACGAAAAGGATCTAAGTGACAAAAAATAAAAAATAAAGAATGTTTATAGCTGAAAAGAAAAAATTAGACTAAGTTAAGTTTGATCTCTTCTTGACTTCTTAAAGAACTTAATATATTTTCAAAATATCTGAAGATAAATATTCTCAGCCTTATTTTTTAAAACATCACTGTTCAGTAAAAA